CGAGGCTCAGCTCTGTGTGAGAAATGCATAGAAAATGGTGAGGTGATTCTTCTGTCTCCTTATAATAAAATAAAAGCAGGGAACAATCAGTGTTATTGATTTCATCCGCATCTACTGGATCCAAAAGAAAAGAAGGCCATCCTGCCCTTCTGGTATAAAAACAGAATAATATTCTAGCAAACAATGTTAGACACAAAAATTATGGAGTGGATTTTGCAAATTTTTTCTATGTTTATCATTAGCCAGATCATTTTTATAATGTACTACATTTCTTTTCCATGTTCTTCTGATAATGGCATTTTATAAAAGGTGTATTCGAGTTTTTATTATTTTGTAACTCAAAGCATGCCCTAAATAATATTAGCCAGGTGTGTAAGTAATCCAACCAGATGCTCAGCTGCAACACTCTGGCTTGCCCATAGTCCAAGATGCACATGTGGTTTCTCGTGGAGGCCTTCGTGCTGCTCTGACTCCTGCTCCATTTTTAGAGGCAAACTCTGAGATCTGCTCTGCACTTGCCACAGGGCAAGGAGGCTCTGTGTTCACCTTCCCAAGACTGCTCATGCTCACGGCTGTCACACGGGCATAGAGCGCTGGCAGTCTGTGCGTGCAAGGCTGCTGCTTCTTCTCCGCTTTGCTGTCTCCCTCAGCAACGAAGGCTCCAGCAGAAAGCAGGTCAAGCTTCCAGGTTTTAGCGTCACAGTGTCACCTCTACTGAGTTCACCTAAGATGTTTTGTATCACCATGAGTCTTTCCTTCACAACCCTTGAGCAGCTTAGCAGTCAAAACACACACATATATATGATAATTTTATTTCTCCTCATTAGATTGCATCATAAGGGCAGGACTGTTTCTTGATTTTTCTCCGTCTTGTGCTTCTAAAATTTAAATTAATGAATAGCATTTAGAGATGATGAATAATTTTATTTTATCAGTCAGTTAAACGTATTCAGTGTGCTGAAATTTACTCAAGATAAAAGCCACATTTGTGTGACATTTAATTAGTGTGAACTTCTGATTTTGAGCTGAGTAGAGAAATTCACTTTCTAGATTAGAAAAAAATTTAATTTTTTAAAATTAACTAGGCCATTTTAATTAGAAATTCTATATGTCACTAAATTTTTTCTTTATAAAACGATTCATAGTCCTTAGTCTTTAGGAAAATGAAAGAAGAACTTACAGATGAATTATATATTAATTTAGACTGAATTGTTAATGAGACTGTAAGTGTATTTAATTATATAGAAATTTTAATTTTCCAAAGTATATTCCCTATATTATAGCAATTTATGCTATCAGTCAGATATTTTATACTAGTGATTTTCAACTACAGGTATACAGTGGAAAAAATGAGGAGGTTAAGAAGGTCTTCATGCCTGGATCTTACTCCCAGGAATTCTGGTTGGCCTGGTCTGGGATGTAGCATGGACATTTGTATTTTACATTTCAGTAAGTGATTATAACATTTAACTGAGGTTAAAACTCCAGCTGTGGTCAGTTTTTTTCATCTCAACCCTCCCTCTTTGGCCTTGATTGTTTATATTTTAAAAAATCCCTACCTGGCTCTATTTGTAGTGTGGCTGAGAATTACTTCTTCAAAGGATGTTATTTGCCTGTGAAAATTGCCTCATAACAAGTGATCCTTCATTTTACATCTTTTGGAAGTCATGTTTTCCAAATAATACATTACATGCTTTAACAAACCTACTTACTTGGTAATATGTATTTTATATGATCACAGTACCTCTACTAGACGTTCAATATATGTTTTCCCCCATTGGTAAAATTAAATATAAATCAAATCAATAATCACATTCTTAAAATTACTTGTTTTCACTGCAAATGCGATGAATATACACTTGTACACTGATGGATCACACAGAACACATAGAATAACTGTGGAGACTCACATTGAATTACCTGATTCAGTAACTGAGCATTGTGTCAACTATATTTTAGTTATACAAAGTAGAGAGTCACACATGTAATGTAACCAGAAAGGACAGACATTCCCAGAGATGACAAACAGATGCGGCCATTTTTTCAGAGTCTGAACTGGAAGTTAGTACTTGTCATGGATTCCTTTGTTCAAACAGTCACAGAACTCAGAGTAAGGTGTGTCTTGGGAGATATTTTACCTCTTAATGGAAAGACTGTCAAAGTTTCATATCCATTTTAGAAATTGTCGCCGGCTCGTCCTGAAAGGGTGCATGGAAACTATTGCTTTCCATGCTATATGGCAAACCACTTACCAAGACTGAGCTCTTACAAAGTCAACTGCAGATCTGGACGACATAAAAGAACATCTTATAAACTTGAGATTGCTGCTGAGAAATAATCAGGATGAAACGTCAGTGAAAATGGAGAGCTTGAAAAAGAAATGATTGCAACACTGAAGGTGGGTTTTGAAGTATTTTTGCAAACCTCAGTGTATCTGGGTTTCATGAGTCTAGAAGAAAGGACATAAACCCAAGATAGGAAAACGCACAGGCTACTGAACTACTCAAGAGATGCCTGACAAAATCACCCATCACCAATGTAGATGCTAACTGGAGATTTAAAACAATTAATCCTGATGGTCTGAACTCCCAGAATTATAATTACCTGAAAATGCTGAAACTTTCGTGGGTAAGCAAGTCATAGAATGATCGTAGATTTTTATACAAGTATGATAACAATGATAACAAAAAGCTACAGCTATACTGAACATGAACAAGTAAATTTAGAGAAAGAAACTCTATAGCAGTTATGTGAATTCTGAAAAAAGTTACTCTGTACTGTGTTGTTAAGGATGTGTGATCAACTGGAGCAACCAGAGAAAATCAACTGTGAGCCCATAAAAATACAGAAGGCTAAAAGCCATCGAGGCAAATTCAAAACCTTTACTATTGACTTTAATTCCCCTTTGTTAGTCATTGGCAAATCAAAAGATGAGAGAAACACAGTGAGGCAGCTTGACTCGAGCTCTTTTCACAGGGCAAAAACCCCTCATTGATGCTCTTCCTCCTTATACCTGTGGCTAAAGGGAACTCAACAACTTTTTAATCTGTGACACTGAGATGCTTTTGGTATATTGTTCTGGTTTTTAAAACATAAAAGAACAGAAATTTTTAGAGTAAAGATGAGCAAATATTTTTAAAGATGAGCAAAAAATTTTCTCATAGATTTAAATTCCTCATTATATCACAATAAAAGGTAAAATCTTATATTTTACTTGGAAAAGTGATGGCTGTGGGAAGAAATAAATCTCTATAACCACATATTTCTTGGCTCTGCAGCCACCCCAACATCCCTTCCAGAGAGTAATGAGGACTGAAAGTCCTGACATTTGTAGGGGAGCCCCAGATTGGTGAGATGCAGACCGGATGAGCCCTTGGCAGGGGCTCAGCAGTGGATTGTAGCACATAGCCCTTGCCAGTAAGGCAAAGGCTTGCAGTGTTTCAGAGCAAGCAATACCCTTGGTTGTGTGGATTTTGCTCTTTAAAAATGTGCAAGAATTTCCGTGATAAAATAGAAGGTTGTTCCCTTGGAAGAAGTGCCTTTGTTTTCAGGTGTTCTGCCTTTTCCCCCACAATGGACTTTGAGCCTGCAGATAAATGTGCAGGGAATGCAGGTCTGTCCTTAAGCTACAGTTTGGAAGAAGCTTGGTGGTGTCTGGGAGACGCCCTCACAACTTCAGGGAAAATCAACATTCATACAGGAAGTTTTCCAGAAATGACAGGCAACTAAACAAGCACATGAGAACAAAACAGTGGAAAAAAGTAATGTAGATGAAAATATATTGTCCCAAGAAGGGAAGAAAATTTTCCAAGTATGTTTTGAGCTATAAAGGACTTAATAAAAACACAAAATCAATAAAACACCAGGTCACAGACAAAGCACTAAACAACAATAAAATGAAAGGAGAAATTTCAGAGCTAGTAAAACAAATCAAGTTCAGAACATCAACATTTATGGCTCCAATAAATAAATTAGAAACAAGGAAAGAGAGAGAGACTACGATATTGAATTTCTGTCCTAGGGGAAAGACTTGAGATAATAAATTCAATGAAGAAAAATAAATAAAGAGATTTAAAAATCACTGAAGATGAGCAATTTGGTGGCCAAAGATGATCTAATATGAGAACAACTGTTATCCTTGCAAGAGAGAATCTTCAGTGGGAGCAAAAAGTTATTGAGGTACAAAATGAAGAGATAGCTCTCAAATTTGGACAGATATTAAGACAGATATGTCTTAGTTACTTTTTCTTGTTGCTGAGACAAAATTCCTGACATCCAAGGTTAAAGGAAGAAAGGTTTATTTCACTTCACAGTTTGTAGAGGTTTCAGTCTATACCTGGATGACTCCAGGGCAGGGTAACATGGCAGGGGGGCATTACAGAGGAGGAACAGTCCATGGCAGGCAGAAGAAACAAAAGCAAGCAAGTGACAACACAAGCCTTTATCTGTCTCTTACATCTTGTCTGTTACTGGGGGGGCAGCATCCATGCCCTGAGTCCTAGCATTGCAACATGAATCAATTCCGGTGTCACACACCCTAGATTCAGCCACCTCTGAAAAGCCCAATCTATGACTTCATGAAGCTTTGGGGGGACATTTAGACACAAGCCATAGCATTATCCTAGGTAAATCATTAGCTTATTAAAAAGAGAGACTTATTTAGACATCCAAGCAAGAAAAATTCCTGTCTGCTGCAATGAATGGGAAGCAGGAAACCATAAATATCACAGAGTTTTCCATAACAGCTTTCAATACCATCTGGAAGGTTTTTAAAATTCTGAGGGAAACAAGATGATCCAAGGGTGTTTATCCAGCCAAGTTATCATTTATAGTGACGGCAGGTCTTGGCAGTGACTCTGGGACAAGAAAGAACCCCAAGACTGCGGCCCCAGTGATGCTTCCTTCAGTTGCTCAGTGATGAGGTTGCAGTTTTCAGTAAATGAGTCACATAAAGAAGGAGCCAGGAATAGACACAGTGAGCAGCGAGCATAGAAGGCAAAATCCAGCACCACCCGGCGTCTCGTTGCCCATCTGATGAGCTTGCCATGTCCGCTTCCCTTTGCGCGTGGGCCGCAGGCTGAACGTGATCAGCTCCTCCTGCCCCTGCAGCTCCCTGTGCCCATCCGCTTTCTGTTACTGGAGCAAACACCCAGGATAAAAATGTCTATTCCGCTCAGGGCTGTGAAGGTTTTCTCCCACAGCCAGGTGCTCTTCTGCTTAGGTTCTGTTCTGGGGCTGGGACTGAGCGGTGGCGGAAGCTGCTCATCTCAATGGCCCAGAAGCATCAGGTGGAGAGGAGGAGCCAATGACCTCTTCAAGGGCGCGCACCCCCGGGGCCTCACACCTCCCTGTCCCCGCTACTTCAAAGCTCCACCGCAGGCTGGAGAGCAAGCCGTTAGCAGGGGGTCCTGGGGAGCAGGTAGTTAAACGTGTAAGACACTCATCACTTTGACTTTGCGTTACTCCAAAGGGCACCTAACTGGCGGGGCCTGCCCTAGAGGGTGCTTTAGAGACTGTGAGGTTTCAGAGAGGCCTTCTGCGAGGAGCCCAGAGGAGTCAACAGACTGCGATGGACGATTCGCTCCGGAGAGGAGAGCCAAGGACTGGCCATCAGCTGGAGAGAACGAGGGGACCGGAGTGCCCAGGCACTGTGGCCGGTGAGTCCTGTGGGGCATCGCATGTGCTGAGGGGAGGCCACGCCGCACGCGAGGCGGGAACTGGGCAGCTGCCCTGGACCCGGCTTGGGAGAGCCGGGTGGAGGCCAGGAAGCCGCGCCTGGACGCTGACCCGCGGTGCGCGGGAGGAGAGGTGCTCGGGCTGCTTTGCGCTGCTGCAAAGCGTTAATTCATTATAGCAGTAAAGACAATAATAAAACAGGCTCTTAGGGAGAGCATGAAGGCGAAACATCACCTGGAAAACTGTGTTTAAAAATATAACAGCAGTACGGTAAAAGGTGAGAGAGAAAAAGCACGGAACTTACTGGAATGTAGTTGGAGCTCACAGGAGGAAAATAACAAAAATCTTTCTTTGGAAGCCAGGAATATTCAAAGCTGTCTGTAATCAGAAATCTTGACTAAACATGGTAACTCTATATTTTTAAAATTTCTGTAACGTAATCCCTAAAGTAAGCAGATTTTTTTGGAAGTGTGTCCTTCTATGGTTCCCAGGACATAAAGGATCATGTATATTGGTTTTTAAATCACATTAATCTACATAGATAGATCTGGAATGAGTGAATACAGTAGTTTCTGAAGGTGCTTTCAACAGTGGACAGCATGTAAGTTTTAGTTCTGTTTTTCTTGATATTTTTGAATAAGTATATATTAGTTTCTATAATATAAACATTATAAAATTAAATGCATTAAATATAATGAAAATGAAGTTAGAGGAAGAAAATAGCCCAGGAAATGTTCTTATTAATCCCATGTTACAGATGGAAACAGGATTATTAAGATTAAGTTATATTGCTAATAAGTGGACAAGAGATCTGACCAAAAAATTAACCTTATGTTATCTGTAGACACAAAATATGAAATAAATAAGAGAAATGGACTGATGCTCTTCACATGAGAGAGTGGACCCAGAAAGCTGCTGTGTCCGCTCACAGAGGAACCTGTATGAACATCCAAAATGCTTCTGTGTGTTTTAGAAGCTTCTAAAGGCAGCACTTCTGACTAGGATATTGGCCAAGTTTAAGTCCAAACCTTTTTACCAAACTTTTCATTATTATTCCAATGGATTGTTTTTCCATGAGAGTTGTACAAAATACTACACCAAACAAATATTTGAAGAATTTGGAAACAAATAGATGAAGAATTTGTTTAACTTTTAGCTGGACATATTTTTGCTCTGTTTGTTTTTGATGCTACAACACCAAATCAGATTCGTGTCTGCCCTCCCTGTTGCATCCACTAATTCATCCAGTTCCTAAGAATGTTGCCATGTTGTGCTAAAGACTGCAAATACTGTGGTGCGTAAATCCAACAACCCTGCTCTCCTAGGGTTTTTTTTTTTATTTAAAGAGAAAAAAAAACAGAAAAAAGGGTAGAAATAATACATAATTTCAGAAAAATAAACAGTAAGAACAGTAGTTGATAAGTTACATATTGTCATCTTAGAAATAGCTGTTCAAGTTATGAAAGTAAAGCATACAAAGTGATACTCAAATAGTGGCACTGCCAACAGTTCTGCTCAATGATCCAACAAAAACTTAGTAATATGGTTACCAGTCCTACACACTTTTTTTTTTTATCTTAAAGAGGGTAAGATTAACCATGTCAAAACAGAACAAAAAATTTCATAAAGAAACAATTTAAAGAAACACAGATTTCAAAGCAAGTCCACTGGAGATCTTCACGGTCTATCTTATTGTCTCTAGCTTTCTTCCAAATAGTTGTCCCCATCTTCACACACATTGAATATATACAGAACATTATAGAACTAATCAAATCATTACAGGATGATGAAGGTTTTTTAGGTCTTCAAGACCTGACTTTGGGGAAGTCAATAATGACTATTATAATGTTTCTTATTCTCTTCAAAGTAGCTGTCTTATCTTTATGTATGCTGAAATTGAACAAAAGAGACTAGAATAATATCACTCTGAACAGTGAATAACAGTATTGCTAGATTTTATATCATAATGCTACAGAATTAGCATTGGGTTCTATTGTCACTTCTTCAGGGTATCTATTCATTACATCGTGTATTATATAATCTGTTCCTGTGAATAGTTTAGAAATCCTTCGCGTGTGTGAATCTCTACATGCATATCTATCCTTTCTGTATTTTAGGGAAAAACAGATCAAAACAAGGCAACAAAACAAATTCCTAGAAAAACATGAAATGAAAAACACATATAAGACCACAATATTAGGTAATCTACAGTAGTTACTATGCTTTCTCTTGTTATTTTCAATAGAATTGTCCACATTATGAGGCATTATATAGTTAAGCATAGCATTACATAGCTAGTTTTATAAAAACACAACTTTGAAGACATTGTAGGACTTGAAAACAGTTAATAATCAAAACTGGAATGGATATCTTTTACATCTTGTCATCTTCAGAGTAGTTGCCTCTACTCTTAGACTTGATACTATAAAGCATACCAAATTTGAATAAAATCATTCAAGGCAAAATAGTGGTCTAACAAAACAGCTTCAAATAAGATCAGTCATAGTAAGACAATGTAAGTAATACAGGGTTTCAGTTTAAGTTAATGGGAAATTAAGGATAGTTACTGTGGTATAACCTGTTATTTTTGGGTTAGCTCTCTGAGCCCTCAAATCTCATATGAGTAGACAGACCAGAACAAAATATAATCAAACCAAACAGAGTGATAAGACTACTGTGGCTTTTAAATTCTGATACACTTTTGACAATGTCCACTGCCTTCCTTTTTTAGGCAGTTTCTCATCTTTCCCCTTCTTAGGATGCTTTGTATATTTTGGGTCCCACTAGCTCCTATAGTTTTTAGATTAGGGGGTCAACCTGTTATCTATCTGAGTGTTGCTGAACCTTTTTACCCCTGAGCTTAATCTTGAGCTGTAATCCTTTACTTACTAAAGCCACAAAGGTTTTCCTTAATTCTACACTGCACAAAAATGTCATAACTTTCCAGCCTATCTGTGGCTGCTGGACGAGTTGTCCCTATTTCTTTCTGGTTTCCTGCCACATATAGCATTGTTTTTTCATCTTTTACTCTCAGTTTATTAACCCTCTTTCAAGTTGAGTGTATTTCCTATTCAGAGCATCTCGATGGATCCTCCTAATCTACTCTGCCTGTGTTTCTTTTTTGTTAGTGTATCAAGGCTATCTATATTAAATATTATAGCTTACCGTCCCTGCCTCATCTCTGCTATTGTATTCTTCTGCTATTATTTGTCCACTTTACTCCTTTATTCCACTGTCTACCCCATTCATTGAGGCCTCTTTGCCACTGTTGCTGGAATCCTGGTATTTTTTTCCCTCTTTCTCTCTGGAAAGTCTGTCAGTATTTTTTATAGGGTTGGGTTGGTGGCCATGAACTCCCGCAGTTCCTCCTTGTCTAGGAAATATCTTGTTTCTCCATTAATTTTGAGAGAGAGAGTTTTTCAGGGTACATCAGTTTTGGTTGGAAGTTATTTTCTTTCAGGACTTGGACTATTTCCCCTCACGCTCTTCTCAATTTGAGAGTTGGTATTGATAATCTGTTGTTATTTTTGTGATTTGTCCTTTGTAGGTGATCTGCTTCTTTTCTCTGGCTACTTTTAATATTCTGTTCTCATGTTGGATTTCTGGGATCTTGATTATTATATGTCTGGGTGTTAATCTGTTGTGGTTGTAGGTGGCTGGAGTTCTGTATGCCTCATTTATCTGGATATCAGTTCTTTTTCCTATGCTTGGGAAGTTTTCCTTAATTATATCTATGAATAGTCTCTGTAGTTCATTTGTGGTTACTCCTGCTTCTTTGTTCACATTTTTTATTTTTAAGTTATAAATCCTCTTGTCGTTTTCTAGCCTTTGAATTGTTTCTTCCTGGTTCCTTGTTATTTTTAAGAGATCTTTTCTTTTTTAAAATTTTATTTAAAAGGAAAAAGAGAAAAAACAAAACAAAACAAAGCACTGTAAGGGTACAAGTAATACAGAACTACAAAAAAAAAAACAGTAAGAAATCACTAGTTAATAGATTACACATTATCATCTTAGAAATAGTTGCTCAACTCACAGTATCAAAGCCTAAAAGTGGATATTCAAACAGTGAGACTGCAAACAGTTGTGTTCAATGATCCAACCAAAAATATTAGTATGGTCAGCTATTTAACACCCCTAAACACACTTGCAGTTGTATCCTTTAGAGCACTTTTTTCCTTCTCTTTTTTATAACAAAATTTACATATTTTGGGTTTTATTACTCCTTAGTTCTTATTACTTTTTTTTTGGAAGAGAACAAAGTCAAATATGGCAAAACAAAGCTGTCAGTCAAAACCAAAGATAGACATAGTACATGATGTAAAAATAGAGTACAAGGTTATCAACAATGGTTACCATAATGCCTCTTGCTTCCTTAAAAAGGAATTGTCTATCTCATTAGGAATTATAAAGTTGAACAAAACAGTAGAGAACAAGACCAATAACACTTAAACATTGTAAACATTACAGGACTTCCAAAGGAGGTAATAGTCAAACCAGATTGGGCATCTTAGTGAATCTTATTGCCTTCAAAGTAGTTGCCTATACCCTCAAACTTGATACTATCATACATAATGGAACATAGTCTAATCAGTCAAAACAAGATAGTGGGAGTATTACAGGACTTCAAATCAAGTTAATAGGAAATAAAAAAAAGTTACTATTATATATCCTGCTAATTTTTAAAATTTTCCCCATTAATTAAAAAACCATAAAAAATAACTAAATAATTCTTTTAATGAATAAGGGCGAGATTGAGATAAAAGAGGACATAACAACATAACAATACACGTCAAAGCATGACAGTTTCAGCAACCTAGTGCTTCACCACCAAATAACCCAACTTAATAGCAGTTAAAGTGTCTGTCTTTTTCCTTGAAATATTTGAATATAACTTCATATACTATAGCTTCAAATATTTCCATATCAAGAAGCCCAGAATAAAGCCATTCCAATTAATAAGTGAAAACTTTATAAGGCTTCA